CCACTTCAGCCTCAATTCACTGAGGCATTCACATCAGCTTCAACTCACTGAGTTGTTATGGACGAGAGAACTACCCTAGACGACTTCTTCATGGACCAAGACAGATTCTGCTACACCTGTATTAATGTCTCAGGCCAAGGAGATAAAAGTATGGAATGAGGGAAAGAGAGAAGAAAACACGTAATGTCCTGCTACAGTAATACGTATCTAATTGAAGTCATAATTTTAAAATACGTATCTACATCTACATACACACGCACATCCCCACAGAACCATATCTCTTAGTTTTGTCTACTAAAAAGGCCTCAAAGCAATGACACTACCTCAGCAGTAAAGTGTACATGTAGCTAAGCTTTTGCTTTCTAAATATCATTTTCTACTAAGAGGAACCAGGGCTCCTTGAAAACACTGCTGATTACACTTTCACGGCAGAGAACATACAAAGTAAGATTAGAATATCTTGTGCTAGAAAGCAGACTAAAGGAGATATGCCATGATACAGGAGTTGGTTCCCACTGGTCAAATTTAGGACAATTTGAACCTGAAGAATAATCCTAGTAATGGATTAGGGAATGAAAAGAATCTTTTGGTTGGAATACTCAAAACAAAAGGTAAGTGAGGTTGGCAAAGCTTGCCTTTACAGACGAATGACAACTAATTAATGTAGAAGAAATGACAGAATTTCAAAATCTCCATTTCACTATCATTAATGTAGTATCAGGTTCAGGCAAAGATTATCAATGAATGCTACAAGTGCTGGGTAAAACATTACTTCTGAAGAACAGGATATTCACATGATCACCCTGAATCCTTCCTCCCAAGCCACTTATCTCCCCAAATATATACTTAATACAAGTGAAAACAATATCCTTGTACAGTGGAGAGATCTGACAACCATCACCCTAATCAAGTGATCAATCTCAGCACTGGTATATGAACAAGCTAATATTATGGGCCTCCTGATAATATACCATAAGAGGTATTCCAACTAACCACTATAGTACTCTTCCCTTGAATATAATCATGAAGAAACAATCAGACAAATCCAGAGCAAGGGACACCATAAAAGGCAAGTAGCTCGGACTCCTTAGGGAAAAAAAGAAAAGTCAACATCATTAAAACACAGACTTTTTTTTTAAGTGTGGAAATGTTATAGATTAAAAGAAAGAGGTGCAACAATCAAATGTAACAGATGAACCTCGAATGGATTTCACGTGGCATGGGGGAAGGGGAAGGAAATAAAAGACATTTTGGAGACAAATATAAAATTTAAAAATAAACTATATAGTAAGATTTTATCATTGAACTAATACTAATTTACTTAAAAGTTATAATGGTGTTCTAATTATAGAAGAATAGCTTTAGTCGGGCGCGGTGGCTCACGCCTGTAATCCCAGCACTTTGGGAGGCTAAGGCAGGCAGATCACGAGGTCAGGAGTTCAAGACCAGCTGGCCAACATGGTGAAACCCTATCTCTACTAAAAATACAAAAAAAAAAAAAAATTAGTGAGGCATGGTGGCAGGTGCCTGTACTCCCAGCTACTTGGGAGGCTGAGGCAGAAGAATCACCTGAACCAGGGAGGCAGAGGTTGCAGTGAGCTATGATCGTGCCACTGCACTGAGGCAGCAAGACTGGGTCTTTAAAAAACACACACACACACACAACAGTCTTAAACTCAAGAGATGTATGACTGAAGTATTTAGGGACAATATTCCATGATGTATGTAACTCATAGGTAGTTTTTTGGTAATACTTGACTGATTTTTTTTTTACCTATCCTTAGAGCAAAATGCAAAGTGGCAAAACATTAATAATTAGTGAATCTTTGTAAAGGGTAGCACAGGTGTCCACTGTACTAGTTTCAATTTTCTGTAAGCTTGAAATTAAAAAGATGAAGAGACTACAGCTGGACTTTAAATGGAAAAAATATAGAACATAGAAAAGAATTCAAGGAATGCTACAATGTCACATATATAATGAATGTTTGTTGTAAACAGTAAAAAAATGTTGGGATTATCCTGTCTGAAGAAGAGACACCTAGAAAGTAAGTTAACACAGTGAAGTTACATCATATGCCTTCAATATAAAATATAAGAAAATTAAACTACATAGCTCAGCAATAACTTGAGGGCATCATTTATACCAAACTGGTCATGATTCACTCAAGAATGAAACATATCTCATGTTAGCCAAACCAGAAAAAGAACATGTGAACGGCATAATAGTTCCCCAGTCCTGACAAAGAGGTGAAATACCTTGTTCACATAGTCAAGTAAATAAAGGAAACTTAAAAATGAAGGGCCATGAAGAAATATTATCAAAGGTAAGAGGAAATTATAAGGGTTGTAGTACCAAACCCAAATAAAGTAATACACTTACAAGTGCTTTAAGTGATATACAAGGGTAATTTTATCTATACCCAAGTTTCACCTTATCTGTTAATTTCACACTCTAAACCCATGAGAGGTGTGACCTCTCTGTAATGAAACAAAAGTGTGATATGCTCTTTTCCACGATTTTAGCCAGCTGTATTCAATTCACCAGTCCCCATCATGAGACACACCCCTGAATCAAAACTTTTCATGATCATACGAGTTTAGGATATGCTGGCAGAGGGATCACTACCCTAAAACACTAATAATCTTGGTTAGGAACACAAAAACAAGATACAATTACAGTTTACAGAATAGGGACAATAATGAACATGTGCACTTAAGAAAAGCATTAAATTCTAATAGCTCTGGAGTCACAAATCCCAACCCTGAACAGCTATTAGCTGTGTGACTTTAGAAAAAGTATAACCTCTCAGCTTTAACATTCTCATCTATAAAACGAGTTTTGTTCATATCTAACTCTCACAATGAGAATCACATAAGATTATATATATATATCTATATATATACTGTATATATAAATGACTTAACACAGTGTGCCCAATAGTTCACACAAAATAAACAATAATTTTATTTTGTTGGGGCAGAATGGATGTTGGTTAATATCTAATACATCAATATAATGAGTTATTCATCATTCTTCTCAAAATATTTTGTAATTTACCAATTTTTCATTTAGCTGGAGTCCAGTTATGTATTAATCTTCAACACATCACCAAAACTTCTGTTATACAAGCAACTTGCTTGATTCTACATAAGTTTTTTTATTTCCCTTCCACTGAATTTTCTTCTTAAGCCTCCTGATCCATAGTAATATCCTTTGATGAGGGTATTTTGTTCTCAGAATTTGTAATAAACCCTGGAAGAGATGAGCAATTTTGTAGAAGAATACATCTAAAAGAGTTAGCAATTATGAAGAATATTCCCTACAGTATAATTTGATTTTTAAAAAGGTTTGGAGTTAACACTTAAGGGAGGTGAGAATTATATCGAGTAGTCTTAATTAACAACTTTATTTGGCCGAGGAGTTTGATGTTAGCACTGAGGGAGGTGAGAATTGAATTCCAAAATTTGTGAATAAACTGACTGTGTGAAGGAAGAGCAGAATTATCTGCTAAAAGGGCTTACAAGGAAGCCAACAGCTCATTCACCAGCCTTTAAGCAAGGAAAATCAACTGAAGAATCTAAATGCAAACTAACTCTAGAAGAAAATTTCGCTTTTTTTTTTAAAGAAAAGAAAAAAGCAAGGAAGTCTCACAAAGGAAAGTCCTATGATTTTTAAATTGTAACTATGAACTCTTCAAAGATCCTATACAATTATAAATATTATGGCAGTGTTACAGAAGTGGTCCAAAAGTACACGACACAGAAGGACTCAGGAGGAATAATTCAGGTGAGGAAAAAAAAAAAAACAAGATGGCCGCAAATGACAGGGTGCCTTTCTCAGAGCATCTACAACTCCCTCTGAGGCTTCATTTATTACTCAGAAATATAATTTGAATAGTTTTTCTTGAAAAATATTTGTGGAAACTCCTCTTTGCCTTTTCATCTTAGGTGTCACCCTGAGATCTCTTTGGTCCACTCTGCCCGCTATCATATGGATTACAGCGCTCTCCTGGCTCAGTAACAATAGATCTCAAGACCACTTCTCTACCACAGTTACTTAACAGATGCCCCTTTGAAATTCATATCATTCTATAATACAACCCAGATGTCCTTTAACAAATGAATGGTTAAATAAACTGCAGTACATCCATATAATAGAATATTATTCAGTAATTTGAAAAATTAATTATTGAGAAATATAACAACTTGGACCTTTTTTTAGGGAATTACGGCAAATTTTTAAAAGCCAAACCCAAAAGGTCACATACTATATAATTCCATTTACATAAGATTCTTGAAATGACAAAATTATAGAAATGGAGAACAGATTAGTGATTGCCAGAGGTCAGAGGTCAAATTCGACAGGTAAGAAGTACAATGGAGGGTGGGTGTGATTTTAAATGGCAAGAAGTATTCCTACAATAATAGAGCTGTTCCGCATTTGTCTGTATCAATGCCAATACCCTACTTGTGAATTTGTACTATAGTTTTATAACAGGTTACCACTGGAGGAAACTGGGTAAAAGATGTGTACCTACAATTATCTCAAAATAAAAATTTCCATTTAAAAAAGTGTTTGTTGCATACTTTTGGACAAGTATTTATACTTTACTTATGCTATACTTATGCTAGGTAAAAGTGAGTACTATTAAAAATTAAAAATTGATTATATTTAAGGGGGCTACTTCATTAAGCATAGCTATAACTGAGTGACCTACAAGGCAACCTGCAGGACATAAATATGATAAAGCAGTTTTACGACTATATGTGTAACTGGTCAATGAATATTTTACATGCCCACAATAAAAGAATATTAGCCTATCCATATTATTTTCTAAAATACACTGATTTTTCAGCTTATTTTTCAATGCACATAGTTATATTTGACTATTAAACAACTGTTTAATTATCTTACATATATTTACCTTCAAATGAACATTAAAAATACATATGTAAACCATGGATAATAGTTTTTAATATTTTTTAAATACATAAATTACCTGCACACAGAACACTGCCGCTGAGGCTGAAGAGCAGTGAACATAACAATCATGGAATAGTTTCGAGGTGGTGCCTTTATAAATTTTCGGAATTTATCACCATTCATTCGGAAGATTGAGCGTCTGGAACTCCATTCCATCAGCTGCTCTACTTTTTCAGCTAAAAGATTCTGCAATTAAACACAGAAATTTACATTTACAAAGAGTTAAAGTCCTTTTGTTTGAATTTCATATAAATGCATAAAATGTTTTTTCTTTTTCCTAATGATATCCAAGTTTATAGAAAAGTAAGACCATATTTCTGCTCCCAGAAAGATAGAAAAGACACATATTTTTCTAACGTTGGGTTTTCTTTTGGCCTTATATATCCCACACCAGTTGATAGAGAAGTCAGCAATCCAAGAATGCCAATAGGGGCAGACATTTAAAAAAAAAAAAAAAAAAAAAAAAAAAAAGGCTCAAGAAAAGTTAGCTCTTGCTATCCAAAAGCCAAAGAAAGGGGAAGCCCAATAAAACAAAATAATAACTGCTCTACTCTTCTCTAGCCAAACAGCACAGCAAAAGGAAAACAAAACAACAAAAACTACCATCTCACAACCACCCCCACAAATACAAAGCTGAAACTATACACAAAAGAGTGTTGTATGATTCTACTAAAGTCAAAAATAGGAAAAACGGATCTACTCTGGTAAAAGTCAGTATGGCGGCTAGTCTGGGAGGCACAGTAACTGGGAGACAGCACAGGTGGAGCTGGGCTACTAGTAATATTCTGTTCCTAGGGAAGTTTGGGAGGAGATAGCACTGTAGCTTCTGTATAGAAGGCTCTTATAGGCTGGGAATGGTGGCTCACACCTCTAATCCTAGCACTTTGGAAGACCAAGGTGGGAGGATCACTTGAGCCTAAGGAGTTCAATATAAGCTTGGGCAACATAGCAACACCCTGTCTCTACCAAAAAAAAAAAAGGCTCTTATCTTTAGATCATTCATTTTACTTGAACAAGTCTGAGAAGTTAACAACTCTACAACATTGTATTCCTACAAGAAAAAGAAACTCCCTGCCATTTTAAAACCAAGCTAGTATCAGTGGGCAGGAGAGAAAGGCTTGAACTGTGCCATTTAACCAAGCTCTACTCTAGAAATCAGAGAGAAAAGTAATCTCTTTCCCCTCTCCTCTCAAGTGAAAAAGGAAAAGTGGCTCACAGAGACTGGGCACATACAGACGAAGGAGAGAGAAGGCAAGGTAGACATCTTATCCTGAGTTAAGGTAAAAGACTTGTTGCAGTGCTTTGCACCCACCTGAACAGGAAAGAAGATAAATGGAAAGAAATGGAAGGGAGGAAGGAAACGAAAGTAACTTGGCCAAAGAGCATAGTAACTGGCAGAGACAGAACATTCAGATATGCATGCATACTAACTGTATGAAAAAGAAAAATAATAGTTAATGACTTGGCTGTATTTGTTTTTTTAAAAGACACAATTTTGCCACAACCAAAGGGCATCAACTGAAATTGATCTTAACCTCAAAACAGATTACTTGCATTTAGTTAGATTTATATATAAATATATAGATTTATATATAATTTGTATAGATAAATCTACATATATATTTGCAGTCTGAGTTACATATATATATATAGCTTTGGAAATGTACTTTATATATATATTACATATTTTTACATATATTTATGTGTATTTTATATATATATATTTCCAAAGTAAAATAATAACCTTATTAAACTGAAAATGAAAACTTACTTCTCTGCCTCATCAATATACCCAAAACAGTAGAAAATGACACAGAAGGACTTCTCCTAATTGTTCTTAGTTTTAATTCTGAGAAGCAAAGTGAGGCTGTTTTCCATGTTAAGCATAATTTAATAGTCTTTGCTTTACAGAAAACTGTTATATATTTAATAAGATTTAAAGTCTCCAATATTTACCAATACACGCAATGAACTAACTCACTATATAAATTCTTTTGAGCCTTGAAAACATTTTAAAGTAATAAGATAAAAACTATACGAATATTTATTTTTTAAATATTTAGAGACTGTGACCCTCTACGAAAAGAGTGGAAATCAAGCAGGGTAATCCACTAATGAGGGTAGAAGAGAATTGGTCTAAGAAAGTTACTTACCTATGAGTTACCTCAGTATTTTATGCTTTTCTCATTAAATACATGCACAACACATTCTCACACACAGACACACACCACATACACTCTTTTAATACTCTTTGAATTTCTACGATAATCTTACTGTTTTTCTTATTTAAAAATCCCATTTATACCAAATATCTATCTATGAAAACAGTAAATAACTGTAAAGGGTCAAAGATTCCACTTTACTTTTAAGTAATCAAAGAAGCCAGCTCCAGTTTCATGGATGCTGAAAGGAAGGAGATTTCTGAGTCTGGTACTCCTATTTCCCACGCTTCCCACCTTCAAGGTAGTATGAAACTCATTTACGAGGCTGATCACAAATGAAAATTCCTCACAGAGGAGTATTTCTTATTTAAGCAACAAAGGACTAGGTAAGTTACAAGTGCCTTTAAAAAACAAACAAAACACAAGAATGCATACTCTTAACTTGGCTTAACTGAACTCCTTTTTGTACTACACTTCTAGTTATCATACTATATTCCTTCAGAATTAGGCAAATGTAAATATGTCATTTTTCTAAATATTAAGAACCACTGTGCTACAGATTTCAGGGCACACAGTCATGTTTAATATTAAAAAATCAATGTAAAATATAACTTTTACACAATCACATCTTGAAAAATGTAGAATTCCAACTATATGTAATTTTCCCATTACAAATATTCTGGAAAAAAACTTTTAAAGAAAATGCCTATTAGTCCCATCATTTTGCATCAATCTTGACAAACTGGTATTTTCCATTATCGTGACTACACTTCCTTACAAACACTGTTATCAGTGTGAAATTCTAACATTATCTGCAATCTATTAATATATTACAGTGTGAGATTCACTATACCCTCACCAGATTCGGGTATTCATTCTTATTTATTTTCTATATCTCTTTATGGTATACACATATGCACACACACTTCCAGATTAATCAAAAATGGTACCTTATTTTAATTTGCAGTTTGTTTGTTTGTTTGTTTCTGAAACAGTCTCCTTCTGTTACCCAGGCTGGAGTGCAATGGTGCAATCTCAGCAAACTGCAACCTCCACCTCCAGGGTTCAAGGGATTCTCATGCCTGAGCCTTGCACTGTTATTTCTGGCAAAATTGAGCCTTTTTTTCACAATTCTGAATGCTCTAATTTTCTTTGTTACTAATTATATCTCGTCCTTTATCCTTGATCTATTCATAAATATAATCTGTCCTATACAAGAGATTAAAAAGTATATGGAATACGCCGGGCACGGTGGCTCACGCTTGTAATCCCAACACTTTGGGAGGCTAAGGCAGGCAGATCACGAGGTCAGGAGATCAAGACCATCCTGGCTAACACAGTGAATCCCCGTCTCTACTGAAAAACAAACAAACAAACAAACAAAAAATACAAAAAATTAGCCGGGCGTGGCGGCAGGCGCCTGTAGTCTCAGCTACTTGAGAGGCTGAGGCAGGAGAATGGCGTGAACCCGGGAGGCGGAGCTTGCAGTGAGCTGAGATCACACCACTGCACTCCAGCCTGGGCAACAGAGCCAGACTCTGCCTCAAAAAAAAAAAAGTATATGGAACAAAACTCTTTCCATGTTTTATTATGTTAATAAATGGAAAGAAATAGAAGGGAGGAAGGAAACAAAAGTGACTAATCAATGTTAAAACTAGCATAAAATTTTGTCACTTCTAAATTGTTTTCTTTTTGCTTATAGGGTAAACTAGGAAGAGCAGAGAGCAATTATAACTGAGAAAAGCAGCATTTTAAGAGCATATACTGTATTTGATTACATTTTGTGAATTATTTGTCTTTTAAAAGTCTCAATCTATTATATGAAAAATATCAATTATTTAAAAGCTAGAAAAACAAATCCATGCTCTGGAACAGCAATAAATTTCAAATCATAGTGAAAGGAAGAACTGAAATCTCTCTCCTATTCTTAGTATCCCAACTGCCTGATTATTCAAACACATTTCTCCCTTAAACTAGACTAGAATATCAGTAAAATCCACTAAAAGATTTTTCTTTGAATTTTAAGTATCAAACAACTTGTAATAATTTCTTCCAAAACACAGCATATAGGATAATGGAAGTGTTCCGACTCGTGACTGGTGGTAAAGCCATGACTGCATTTGCCAAAACCCACAGAAATACAGTCTTGTGTCTCATAGTGACATTCATCACTTAACAACAGACTCCATACACAAAGATGCTCCCATAAGATTAGAATGGGGCTGAAAAATTCTTAACACCTAATAATGATGGGTAGCCATGGTAACACTGCAGCACACCATATTATTCCTGTGTTTGTGGTGATGCTGGTGTAAACAAAGCTACTGGCTGCCAGACATATGAAAATATAGCACATGAGATTATGTAGAGTATATAATACTTGATAATGATAAACAACTTTGCTATTGGTTTTACGTATTTACTATACTTTTTATCTTTAGACTTTTTATCTTAGACTCATTTGCTTTCTAAAATTAACTGTAAAACAGCCTCACGCAGGTCCTTTATGAGGTGTCCAGAAGAGAATGTTATCCTAGGAAATGACAGTTCCATAACTGTTATTGTACCTGAAGGCCCCCCAGTGGGACAAGATGTAGAGGTGGAAGATAGTGATATTGATAATCCTGACCCTGTGTAGGCCTAGGCTAATGTGTGTGTTTGTGTCTTAGTTTTCAACAATAAAGTATAAAGAAAAAATTTTTATTCAGAAAAAATCTTACAGAATAAAGATATAAAGAAAATATTTTTGTACAGCTATAAAATGTGTTTGTATTTTAACCTAACAGTTATTACAAGAGTCACAAAGTTAAAAAAATTAAAAACTTTTTAAAAAAGCGATAGTAGGGTAAGGTTGATTATCAAAGAAAAATTTTTCAATACAGCCTAAGTGTGCAGTGTTTAGAGAGTTTACAGTAGTGTACAGTAACGTCCCAGGCCTTCGCACTCACTCACCACTCACTGACTGATTCACCCAGAGCAACCTCCAAGCCTGAAGGTTCCATTCATGGACAGTGTGCCAGACAG